AAATATTAATAAAAATAATAGTATATAAATAATACAAAATAAAACTGGTTCATAGATCTTCTTTTCACCTTGCATACATTGTTTGTTGGCCTGACTGGCAGTATCTCGGTACTGATTTTTTACCCCATCCAGCTGGTCTTGGGCCTGTCTTTGCTGAGAAGCAGCCTGTGCATTGGCCTCATGACTTGCCTCCAGAGAGGCCTGGAGTCTGGCCAACATCTCATGCACCATGTATACTTCTTCAGCAAGTTTGTGACGTTTCTGAGCCTCTCCCTTCTCCACTACTATCTGCAGCAGAGCAGTAACAATCAGTGTCCGTATCCCTTGTTTTTATAAGTGTGTGCATATATTTCCCGAAGTACAAAAGAAATTTGTAATTTCTGCCCAGTGTGCATGTGTAGCTATACAAAAATGGATCATATCAATAATTTGTAGAGGAAAGTACCAAGAGTTTTCACCAAGGTTTTTTTTTTCTTTTATTTTTTCTATTACCTTCTCACGGAGCTCAAGGTTCAATCTCTCCAGCTGATTACTGAGGTTGTTTTTCAATGCAGACTGGAATCTTTTCATTAAAGGCTGATGGGTACAAAATGTAAAGAATAAAATGAGATGGGGTATGAGAATTTGTTTCTTTTTCTTTTTGCTTTGGCCAAAAAAAAATCAAGTTTACACACATGCTCAGGATCCAGCACTACAAGTTCTTCCTCTTCCTCATCTTCCTCTCTGACTCTCTCTTCTGCCTCAATGTCACTGATCTCCAGCTGGAGGGAGTGCTGTCCACTAGTCCCAGCTGCAAGTCCACTGGTGCCAGCATGATCAGAGTCTCTGTCATAATGGTCTGACTGCTCCATCGATTCCCGCTATGAATAAAATCATTAACATTCATTCTACAGTACATTAAAACCAACTTAGTTCACGCTGCAAGCCGTGCAAGATCGCTGGTACAATGGGAAAACTAAAGCAAAAAGCTGTTTTTAACTCTGATATCATCTAACGTTATATGATGAATGTCTTTAGTGTTTATAGTTAAACTGATACAAATGAAAGTTTCGTGTATGAATCTAGACCTCCTGAGGCTCTGTAAATTCATCAGGAACCTCTTCCTGCCTGTTTATCTCATCCTCCGGCAGACCTCCATCACACCCACCACCTTCCATCTATTCATAATCAAAAATAAAGTAACAGTTACCGTAATTCAACACAGACACTAATACATTAACAGGACATTACAGAGTAATTGCATTTTAGATACTTTTAAATGATCACCTGTTTCTTTTATATCCTGGTTCTGAGTGGCAGAGAGCTGTTGTGAAGCAATATTTCCTCAAAGTTATCGTTCAATTTGCAATCATTTCTGGTATCACCATTTAGCAGCGCGAGACCTTCAGCGTTTCTTTTGCATCTCCGTTGCTAGGAGACGCCACACTTCCGGATTCGCTGCTCTTTATAAATGATACAATCAATCTGGGGGAAAAAAATCTCAAACAGCAAGATATAAAACATAGTAGGGTTCTTTTAAATTATTATTTTTTATCTTCATTGTAACTTCGTTGTTATCTTGTTTGTTTACCTTTTTTGAAGAATTTTAAGGCTATATTCACCTCCCACACAGTAGGTGGCAGTGTTGTGCTTTCAACTGGCTCTAGAGAGCGCGAAGAAAGCTGAGCTCAAGAGGCCGTGCGTACTTAGTATGAAGACGGAATGGATACAAAGAAATTAACATAGTGAGCTTGATCAATCATTACACGCCTGTCGGTCAGTATTTTTAAACCAGTTAAATTACTTGCTCTCTATCATGCATGGAAACGCCACATGTTTAGATTCGTATTACGTTCGTGTTTACAGGCTAGTGTTTCATTAATAGCTGAGCTGACATGGGTCATTCAATTCTAACAAAAAATACCAAAAAGAATAATACCATAATAGTACATGATGTGTCGTAGTATTATGACCATGAAAAGCAGTTTCATGACATGTAACGTTACCGTAGTATTTTAGAATTACTTTGCAAAGTACCATGTAAATATCATGTACATGAATATGAGATTCATTCAGCAAATCCAGGGATCCTATATAAAATTACTATTTTTGAGTGCAGTCTCTTCTGTTTTTGTGAATTTCCAGACGAGATGAAGGTTAAAATAAAGCAGTGGAATGGTGTGGCGTCCTGGTTGTGGGTAGCCAACGATGAGAACTGCGGCATCTGCAGAGCGCCTTTTAACGGCTGCTGCCCAGATTGTGGGTAACCTGGTTTCACTTTACCTACACTGCCACCTGTGCCTTTTTGTGTGTGCCATTTTGTCATGAAATCCTGTTGATGTTTTAGTTTAAATTGTTTTGCGTAGTTGAACAAAATGTATTCAAAATGAAATGTACTCTCTGGTTTTAACAGGTAAGGTCCCAGGAGATGATTGCCCTTTGGTTTGGGGTCAGTGCTCTCACTGTTTCCACATGCACTGCATCCTGAAGTGGCTGAACTCTCAGCAAGTGCAGCAGCAGTGCCCAATGTGCCGTCAGGAGTGGAAGTTTAAAGAGTGAGCTGGCCATCAGGCGCACAACACCTGGATTTTCACTGTGAACTCTGTATATATTCTTAAAAAAGATTTTTGGACAACTTCTATCTCAGTAATGAATGTTCTTTTTTTTCCAGGGGAGACACTTCCTGAGGAGATTAAATAAATTCACACTCTCAGATTGATTCTTCTGTATGTTTTTTTTAAACAATAGTATATTTTATATCCTACAAATGTACAGTTTTGTGATTAAATATCCCACAAAATTAAAATATTTTTAAAAAGACATGGTATGGTTTTGTACAAAGTAGCTGACATTACAGATAAAATGACTGCATTTTGCAGTCCAAGGGACAGTCATTTTAAATTATGAACACAGTACAGAATGTCACAGGACACTTACAATGGTATGCGCTTGTGCATATCTCAAATAATTGACATGAAATTCCCACAATTTAAAATATTTTAAAATTTAATCAACACTCTTTTGCACTCATGCCTTCTTTTGCCCACATGTCTATATTTCAGTGTTTTCAGAAACAATATATACATTATTCGGAGGAATGGTGCTACATGAAAATAATATTTTATATATCAGTATTAAAACAAGGTTGGAGGAAAGTTGAACCACTGACTAAAATTGCCCCACAACCACCATTTCTGTGTTTGCAAATCATAAAAATGGTTAATTCAAATTGTAAACTTGGATTAAAATTTTTTAAACATATAGCACAGTTCCCCATATGCTTCCCTCAATCACAGACAGCTAGATATGACTGGCCACTTCCTGAATTTATTCACATAAAAGAAATTCAAACAAGTCTCTAGATATGAGGTTCAGTACTTTACCCATGAGCAAATCTTACTCCAATCTTTTAATTTTCTTGCAACATGGAATAACTACTGAAAAAAAAATCATTTTTAGTTTCTGTTTTAGTTTATTTTGTTGGTTTGATGTTAAAAATCATAGATCAAAAAGACTTGCTTTTTGACATGTACGCTTTGATGCGTTTTTAAATTAGCATAGTGTGCTGTAGGGATGACATATTTTTGTAGGCCAAATCCTGGAAATGAGTTTCTCGTTTTCATTGTCCTCAAGTCAATGGGTATTTGGTTAAATGCCTGAAATAGGATAACCTAGGCTCAAGCTTTTTCTACAACATAAAATACATCATCAGTATTTATGTTGTAGAAAATTGTGATTGTTTTTTTTTTAAATGAGCTAACATATGGCTAAAGGAGGATTTCGGGGTCATTAAATGTCTTAATGGGAAACAGGAACAAGAAACACTGAACAGGAAATCTACTCTACATCTAAATTGTGTTAATTTGTGAAAATTATCATGAACAAAACTTAACGTAATAATAACTTTTGTTAGTCTCAGAGCTTGTTTTCTGCAATAATCCAAAAGCCAATGGATAAATCCAGGCATCTGTCACCTACAAAAATACATCATCACTGCAGCACTCTATGGGCAAATTCCAAATGGCTTCACTTTGGGAAGGGGGCGCCATTTGTAGGGACGTTCCAAACAAAAGTGAACAACTGAATTGAAGGGCCCTTCCAGAAGTCCCTTAGTGAAGGGAACATGCAATGGTCACTTTACTCACTTCACGAAAGTGATTTCCATTTGTGATCATGTGATCTTCTGTTAGGAGATCTTGCGATGCATTTTAAAGCAAAGTTGGGGTTGATTTCAATTTCACATACAAACATAAGTAGAATAGGCAAATTAAATTTGTCTTTATTTTAATGTAATACAAAACATTTTTTGCCAGTGACAGAAATATGATTTAAGACGGTAGTGTAAGCAAGTTTAATAGTAAATAAGACAATTGGACAATATTTGTATCAAATAATAATAAGAAAAAATCTTTATTTGCAACAACTGATGGAGTGCTGAATGCTGCATACACATGCAGCATTTGGTATTTGGTCAGTCATTTCCTTTGCCAAGGGAGTTCCAAATGCTTATACAAGATAGTAATGCCCTGCACCCTTCAAAGAACACACTTCAAGGGCTCTGCCCTTCGAAGGGAGTAGGGCATAGGGATGCTCACTTCCGTTTGGAATTCGCCCTATATGAAATCAAAGACTATAGAATACCTAAGACATGTCACTCGTATAGTTTTGAATGGGGAAAAATGCTACGCTCAATATGGCCACTCTATCGAACGAAGCCACGCCTTCTGAGGAAAAGAGCTAATCGGTAAAGTCAGCGCGTCACTGCAGCTGCCGTTAGAAGTCCCGGTTGCTATAGAAACAGTCAACACTCTGAGACGTGCGCCTAGGAATGCGCATGCGCACTGGCTGGTCTAGCTTGAGAAATAAGCTTTTTTTAAATGCTATTTGAGCAAAATAAACACTTATGATACAGTTGTTGTCAGATTTCATTGGTGATTTCAAACATGAAATTTAATCGTAAGCTTTGTGAACAGTTTTGGAGAATTTGATGATTCCCCATTCAAAGAGATAGGAGTTGCACTTGCATGCCCGAGAGGCGTTTCAAAGATGGCCGCCGAGTGACATGACTTGCCTTAAAGGGACTTTGATGAAATGCAATGGAGATTATAAGAACATATTTAAAGCAGCAACATTTGTCCTTAAATACAGGACAAAGTCATTATCAGTGAACAACTTTGATCATTTAAAAAAGATTAGGGATCGGCAAATAAATGGCCTGAATAACATCAGTGCACTAGGCAAGAGATTTATGCTGTATTAGTCTGTATGCTGGATAAATCCAATTGTTTCATAAAGACTTTTTGGGGTCTTGTGTGTTTTTCCTTTTCACATCATTCAAGTCCACTGGTGTAAAAGCTGAAGAGTAGAAACAAACAGTTAGAGAGCATGCATGCATTTTCAACATCATATTTCATTTAAGTCTTTAGAAAAATTATCAGTTTTCATTCATTTGGTTTTTAAGAAAAATAAGGCCAGATAAGGGAACAACTGTTCAAACAGCTTTGCCAAAATATTTCAACCAATATTTATTATTTATCACTCTTATGTTCCTTCAACAACAAAATACAATCCTCAGGTTAAATTAAGTCGCTTTGGATAAAAGCGTCTCCTAAATGACTAAATATAAATCAACCAGTTGAACATACAGTTTAGTGCAGGGTTTGGCGTCCTCTCCACATATTTCTGAGGTCCCTGGTTATTGTTTTCATTTCCCTGGCAAGTCTGCATTTCTCTCATGACACGCTGCCAAGCTGTTAGAGGAAGAGTTGATGTTATAGAAAACTAATTCCCCCCCAAAAAAACTTCTCATACAAATAGGATATTTTGATGGGTCTCTGACATTTGAAAATATTTCTTATGAGGCAACGTACTGTAATGAATGAATCGCACATTTTCCTCATGTGCTGGTGTGAGTAGTTCCTCAGTGTTGGTTGGGGAAGAGGCTCCAGTTGTCTGTTTGTAATTCTGAACCATTTTTTAAAGATGGAGAGCTGCCAACAACACTGTCAAAATCCAACAGTTTACTATTGTCAAACGCCACAGCTTACTATTATTAAATCAAATTTAAAACACTTAAAGGGATAGTTCACCCAAAAATGAAAATTTGATGTTTATCTGCTTACCCCCAGGGCATCCAAGATGTAGGTGACTTTGTTTCTTCAGTAGAACACATATGATGATTTTTAACTCCAACCGTTGCAGTCTATCAGTCGTATAATGCATGGCAATGGTAACAAAATCTATGAGTAAAAAAACATGCACAGACAATTCCTGGATATCAATACACCCATTAACGTAAACTATGCCAGAGCGCGTACGCACCTCACGCACCGGATGGCGTGCGCGCGCTCAAGGAAGTTGGACATTGCGGTGGATCAGAGGTAAAAAATGATATAAATACTGTTCGGTTTCTCGCACAAACCGATCGTTTCGTGTCTTAGGACATCAATGTGTCGTCATGAGCCGCAGGGTTTAATTTGGATTTGTCTGTGCATGTTTTTTTTACTCTCATAGATTTTGTTACCATTGCCATGCATTATACGACTGATAGACTGCAACAGCTGGACTTAAAAATCATAATTTGTGTTCTACTGAAGAAACAAAGTCACCTACATCTTGGATGCCCTGGGGGTAAGCAGATAAACGTCAAATTTTCATTTTTGGGTGAACTGTCCCTTTAAATGACTGACCCACTGTGAAAGATCCTATTGTTAAATGGACAACTAAAGAGTTATTTACCTGACTATTTGTGTGCTCCCTAGGAAGTGTCAAAGCACAAAATGAGGCGGTTAAAACCTGAAATGTAGCAACAGCTTTTAGAGCTGGTCTGTTTTTTACGTGCTGCCATCTAGATTACATATAAATCTTATCTTCAGGACTTGTTTATTCAATATTTTTAATACTAGCTGCTCAGTTCAAACTATACCAGCCAACTAGCTCGGTATCTAAACTATGCCGAACGTAGTTTAAGGTCAGTCTCACAAACAAACACTAATTTGCCGTTATATAGCACTGAAATAGCAAATGCGTTTTTATATTTTCCCATAACATAACGACATATTTTCGCAAATGATACGCGGCTAGCTTGGCAAGCTAACGTCAAAAAAACAGAAACCCTCCACAAAAAAAACACAACAGAACTCGATGCATGAACCAGGGATCAATATAACGTGACTAATATAGTACGATTAATGTGACTAAAACTTTTGCGCATTTGAGACTTACAATGTGGCGTTGAAATCCTCCAAAAAGACACTTGTCAACACAACGTACACTGCTATGTTCAGCGGTGTCTAGCACAATCAGTTCAGTGATGTCAGATTCGAGAACGAATCATTCTGTTGAATCGGATCTTTTCAATGGATCACAAAAAACATCGGTTCGCCATGTGAATTGCCACATTTAACCCGGAACTGTCTCTTGCAGACATGTCTGACTCGTAAATGAGCTGAGATCCAATGAGTGAACTGACCGTAAGACTAATTGGAATTTACCGAAAAATTTTCAATGGGTCTAAAAGTAAATTTAGTACTTAAATTGCTGGCTTTGTTTTCTATAAGCTGAATCACGTATGTAACCGTAGAAGAATCACTGAATGTTTATTGATCCGTTTATCACGTGTTTCAAAAGAACCGATTCGTGTAAACGACTTCACACAGTACAGCACATTCGCGATTCGTTCAGCAGAGCACATCCTCGGTTAACTGTCAAACGTGTTCGTGCCTTTCAGAAGGATTTTAACATTTCTACAAAACTTATGTCATTCAGTAACAAGTGCCATACAATGATATGTCATTCAATAACAAGTGGCATACAATTGTTTGATTTTACATTGAAAAGGAAATAAACAGTGCAAGGATTCTTAAAAAAAAAAAAAAAAGATCAATTGCATAATAAATTAGTCTGAAGCCTATTATGTATTATTATTTTATGTATATTGTGTAAGGAGCTATGGACACAGACAACACCTAAAATAAAACAGACAGCATTGTTTTTATGTATATAAAAAAACATTTAATCCAGGCATGTATAAAATTAAGACTTTCTTTACGGTGTCAAGTTTTATATGTAAATTGATTAAAAAAAATCACATACAATCACAGTGAGCTATTTATCAAACTCGCATTAGTGCATTGATCTGCTACTTAAAAAACATGTTTCAAAATAGAAAGCATTAACAAATGAACACAGAAAAGCTGTTGTGACTGTCATTAGCATACAGCACGAACACACTGCATTGTCAACACTGGAAGAGTTCCTTCCTGCAGAGGCAAGTGCAACTCACATCCTATCACTGTCATTGGTCCAAATGCGCAGGACCAGACAATTATAAATGGACACTCTGTCAAGGTGTCTCAACTACCAGCTCCACTGCATACACAGTGCCTGTTTCACTCCTTTTCCCTTTAACGTGGCAACTGCCATATAAGAAGAAAGTAATCAGAACTTCAATGTCAGGCAAGTTCAGGCACCACCGACCCCGAAGAGTTCAAGAAACTCTTTGCTGTCTGGGTCAATGAGGTCAATGGGCTTCTCCCCACAGTCATTTTCAGCCTCAGTGTCTGCACCTAAAGAAAGCAAGTACCTGAAACAAAAAGAAAAACTTTCTTTAAATCATTCACCAGTTTCTTGACAGATTTGGTTTCAATAATCATGCACATTTTAGAGATCAAAGAATACAGCTGGTAAATGCTCTATTTCTTTCTTTCTGTTTTTGTAAGTCTTCTTTGCTGAAGCACTTTGCTTTTCAGAGAACTATTACAAAAATAGAAATCACAACTAAAGGCGTGTCTTTATTTTCCTTTACTATAAACAGTAATCATCTATTAAATGTCCAGGTCTAATTTGTGTTTACCAAAGTCCAAATAATACATTAAATTAAGAAAATTGCTTACTTAGCTATTTCTGGAAAGCCATCACTACAGGCCATATGGAGGGCAGTCCATCCGTCCTCGTCCCTCTGGGAGATGTCAGCCCCAAGTTTTACCAGAAGTTTCACACACTCCAGGTTTCCAGATAGGACTGCTTCATGAATGGCTGCCATGCCTGGACAATCAGCAAGGAGTTAATGTTAAAGGACAGGCTCAGACAACTCAATTATCAGTGGATTAAAGCTTCAGACACTTTTGATTATGTTATCAAATAGTCAGAGCTGCCTAGACAAAAATGGCATTGCTAATTATTAGGATGAATAGCCTTTATTAGAGATCAGGGAATGCTTTTGTGTTCATAACTGCATTTTAATTACTTGCATGCAGAGTATCTAGTTGAGTCTGAACAAAGATTTACTTTCCATAGCTGACTCAATTACGTACACAAGTAGTTGATTTTCCTACCTGAATGATAGATGGTGTCCAGACTCACTCTTTTGGTTCTAATGAAGCGTCCAATTCTCTCCAGCTCTCCTTGACGGACATAATCCTGAAAAACTATGTCGTTGGGGAAGTGAACATTGCGAACAGGTTTGATGGAAGGCCGTGAATGAAAGCATGATAGTGGTCTAGTGGCATTTGGGTTGCACCCCTCATAGCGCATGGTCTGGGTGACTGGACACTGATAGTACTTCATCATTCTTTAATGTTTGTGTTCCTAAGATTGGATGAGAAATTCCGCACTAATTCTCAATGTTCAGCACACAGGTTCAGCACAATCAGAGATCTTCAGAATTTCTTCTTTTCCAAGGTGCTTGTCTTGAAATTTCCAGCTGCTCAGTCTGTTTGGTTGTTTGTTTTTCTCTTGATGTAGAGTACCTCCCTAGACAGTCGTTCAGAAGTTGGTCTGAAGTCAGGGCTCTCTGTGTACCCTATATATACCCCCCACTTGACTATATTAAGAGACTGTCATCTCATAGCTCAGATGACTGAATTGGAAGATGAGTGGGTGTGATCTAGAGTCACACCCCTACGATTCTCATCCAACTTAGCAATAAGATCCGTAACCTCAGCTTGTTTTCACACACCACATTTAAACCAAATCTTTCCTCCACCTCTTCAGATAAATTCCCCCACCCCAGCTCCTGTTGTCACACAGCAGGGAAGCCAACAGTAATTTCTAGTACACAGTGAATAGGATATAAAAATGGTTTATAGGTATGGCCTGCCAAACGTGAAGGCCATGAAGGATGTTTACGGTCACAATTAGAATTTTAAAACAACACTTGAATAAACAGCCTGCTGTTTATCTTTGTTTATGCTCTTGCTCTATTTGCAGATGACTGTTTAATCACATTAATATGTCATGATCCCTGACAGCAGGCCTGACAGTGTTTTCTACTTTAAATCTACCTGACTTTCTATTTTGTGAGCGGAGTTATTATTACTCAGCCCCTATTATTACTTAGGTCCAGAAGTTTCTACATGTTCTGGGTATAACGCAGGGTAAAAGTAATTTGAAATGGTAACCCCCCAAAATGACACCCGTCATACTCCGGGTCAATAGAGGGGTTAACGCGAGCTAGCCTGGTCTTAGACCAGTGGGCTCTATGAACCACCTTGTACTGTATGAGCCTGTGATGTGCACAAAGAGAGGAGTAAACCCTGTTGAAGACTGCTTTCCATGTCTCCTTATTAAAGTCAGTGCCAGTGTCTTGGGACCAGACAATGCGTAGGTTATCAGAGGAAAATTGCAAATTAACAATTATATTCACTAAACTAGTGCCCTTTACACAAGGATCCACACCCAGAATGGTGTCCAAATCTGAAGGGAGAGGCGCATTTGGAAAGATTACAATTTTTTACGTACAAAGTCTCGAATTTGTAAATATCTGAAAAAATGGCTTTTGGGAGGTCAACTGATCAAAGGAGGCAAAAACACTATCGATATAGAGCTCAGCAATAGAAACCAATCCAAGATCCCTCAAGGAGGCTTAAGCACTGTCCAAAACAAAGGGGTAAAACAAAGGGCTAGAATGTGTTGGGGATAATAAGAGGGTATCATGAAGGCCAAATGCTGTAAAAATTGGATCCAGATTTTAAGACTAAATTTTAATTATATTATTTGAATATTTCAAGGGCAGCCGGGGAGGAGGACTTACATGAGACATTCTCAATGTGCAGCCAGGATGGGGAATGGACAAAGCTGCTTGAATAGAACCAAAACAGAGTAGAGCATATATTCGCTTCCAAATAATACTTAGAAAATTAGGAAGAGCCAGACCACCCAATTGTTTTGTCTTCTGCAGAATGCCTTTCCAGATCTTTGGAGTTTTTTTTTATTCCAGAGAAAAGTAGAAATAGAGCTATCAAGTGCAACAAAAAAGGACTTGGGAATAAAAATCCAGTGTAAGACTATTAAGCAACGGGACAAAGTTGTGGTCTGAAAAAATCTGAAAAACTTTTTGTCACATATATGCCAAAATATCTAAAACTCTGCAAAGAAGATTTGAAAGGCATGGATGTTAATGGATAATCCAAGGCTGCTTTGTTGATGGGCATTCATTTCACTTTTACTCAAATTCAATTTATAGCCCGAAATTAGACCAAAATCTGCTAGCAAATCCAGCACCAGGGGACTGGAGGTGCCAGGGTCAGACACTTATAACAGAAGATCATCCGCATATAAAGATAGCTTACAGTATGCTCCAACCCTCCCCTTTGTATGCCAGCCATTGCACTGGATCTTAGAGCAATTGCCAAAGGCTAAATGGCAATTGCAAATAGCAGGGGGAGAGTGGGCAGCCTTGTCTAGTCCCATGGCCAAGTCAGAAATATACAGATTAGATATTATTTGTTCATACACAGGCCATGGGAGACGTGTATAAGAACCTAATCAAAACTATAAACTGATTAAGAAAACCAAATTTCCTCAATGTGTAAAACAAATGCCTTCTCAGTATCCATGGAAATAACAAATTCTGGAGATTAATTTAAAAAAGAAGAGTAAAGAATATTCAAAAGGCATTTAATATTATCAAAAGAATGTTTATTTTTAATAAACCCTGCTTGGTCTGTGGAAATTATGATGGGAAGAACCGTCTCCAGATGTCTCGCTAAAACTTTAGCTAATAATTTCACATCTGATCAAAGTAAGGAGATGGGGTGATAGTTACTGCACGGAGAAGGATCGGTCCCACTTTATATTAAGTGGCCTTACTTAACCACTATGTACTTACACTTAAATTAATCATTTGGTACAATGCACTTATTGTGTACATACATTTTTTAAATTGTACTTATATTTTAAAAATACCAGCATGTAATTACATATGTAATTAATTTCTGTAATTACATTTATAATTACACTGTTGACCCATCCCTTACACCTTAACCCACCCTTAAACCTACCCATACCACGAAACCGGTCCCTAACCTTACCCGTTTCCCACCTCAATAGCAGCAAAAGGGTTTTGCA